GGGTTGAAATCCTTACACTGGCTCAAGTTCCACGTGCTCATTACAAGTGTCAGAGACATTTCCATTTTCATTACCACCACCTCAGTGCAGAAAAGCCCACGTGGCCAAGGAAAAGCGCCAGGTGAGATTTCTTGGCCCCATCGTTCTCAGCTCACTCCAGGGGAACAAAACAGATTGAAGACGTCCAACATCCTCCATCTCAGAATTTCTTGACTGCAGCATCAATCTCAGGAATTATCTCCTTCAGCTGGTTCCACTGTTCTGCAGACAGAGCAATGCCTGGAAACAGCAGAAAGGGCGTTGGGAGCAAGCAGTCAGCATCAAGCAGCATCCCACAGCAGCTCCTTCGAAAGAGTTACAGAAGGAAAAGGTGCAGCCTGAGCCCAGAAAAGAAACAAGGGCAGCCTGCTGAGCACAGCAATTGTGTCAGTGCTTCAGCATCCATATCAGCAAGTACTCAGTGCTATCACAAAAGCACTGTGTGAGAACAGAAGATCAAGCTGCCTTTCAAGGAGTTCTGCAACCTCTTGTATTCTGTTCCTTGGGAAAATTCCCACCTCTGTGAGCTGGAAAGTGATTTTAGGAAAGCCTTGCTGTACCCAGCAGTTAGAGAACCATCCTTTCCACCACCCAAAGGAAATGCCAGCTCTAGCTCTATTTAGAAAAGCTGCTGCTAACAAGAAACCACGACTATAGCTTAAACTCTAGAAAAGAGCTGGCTTTTTATTTTTAAGACCAGTAGAGATAAAGTCTTCATTTCCCTTCCCTCTCCTTTAGGAAACAAATACAGTCATGGAATTGCAGAGTGGGTTCCAGCTAAACCTTATCAACTTGTTCCTTATGACTTTGTTAAAGAATGAGGGCTGAGCTTTATTAATTTCTCTAGATAAAAATCAGGGGCCAACAACTCCTGAGAAAAAACAGCAGAGGCATTAATTAAATGAAAAACATTTCCTCCTGATTTCTATTCTAGCTAACAGATGTTCTGTCTTTGGTTGCAAGTGTGCTTTTTCCAGCCTGGAAGGTGCCCACAATGCTCCTTTCCCTCTCCACCCCAACGGGCACAGAAAGGTTTCATTGCCCTGCTCCCAACTTCCAGGGTAAGCAACACCCTCTGAGTAATTTATAGCAGTCTCTTCCTTGAAGGAAATTAATTTCTGCAAGGAAAACCGTGCTTAGTGGTTATGGAGCAAACCAAGCTCAAAGAAATTCATCTGCCTTAACACAAAAATCAATAGGAAGAATCAAAACATTCCTCAATTTGTCTCACAGGAGCTGCATCTTTGGTGAGCCCTACAGCACGCCTGGCAGGAGAGAAGAGCAATGTAACGGTCTGGGGCCTGTGAACCTCAAGGCAAGCTGACAAGTCATTGTTAAAGTCTCAAAGCAAAAGGTCTAAGCTGAATAGTGACCCATCAGTGAAAAACCAAAGGCAGGCTGGGAGAGCCCAGCGCAGCCTGCAGATACCACCCAGAGAAGCCAGCAGTACCTTTTCTCCCCGGTTTCACGTCCCCTTCCTTGTCCGTGTAGAACTCCCTGATGTCCACCAGCACCTTCCCCTTAAAGCAGGACACTCGGACGTAGCGCAGCTTCCCAATCTGCAGGAACACAGAGCCAGCATTGAGCCCTGCTCCACAACGAGCTGCTCTGCAGCCCATGGGGTTGCTCACAACACCAGAGGAGCAGCAGGGGAGCAGAAGGCATCCCAAGAAGCCAATTCAGCTACAGAGGAGGTGAAGGGGAGACCTGTGCCAAGAAAGGAAGGTATGAGGAGAAGCACGAAGAGGAAGGGGGCTGTGCCCTCCATACCTGGAACATGCCCTCTTCTTCGCTGTCCCGTCCCTGGCGTTTTGCTGCCATTCTCGAAGGCTTGGCCTCCATTTTGGGACGCTTCTCTGACTTCGAAGGCATTTCTTTCTTCCTTTTCTGGAGAGAGAGAGATCACCATTTTCAACAGCATGGTCTAAAAGCTGCAGGCCTCCCCTGAGCCTTCAGTGCCTGTGCTCACTAACAGTATCCACTACTCACAGGGCTCACAGGGCTCACAGGGCTCACAGGGCTCACAGGGCTCACAGGGCTCACAGGGCTCACAGGGCTCACAGGGCTCACAGGGCTCACAGGGCTCACAGGGCTCACAGGGCTCACAGGGCTCACAGGGCAACTTTCACTCAGAAAAACCATAGCTAGCAGGCACGTCCTGGCAACCCCAGCGCAGAGGTTACCTTTCCCTTCTCTTCCTCTTCTTCCTCCGGGCTGCTCCCCGGGCCGCTTGCCACCGCCAGCTCCTCGGCCTTCGGCATCCTGAGGGCTGTGAGGGCCACAGCCACGACCCGCCCGCCTTCTCGAGGCGCCAAACCCCGCCCCCATCCCGCCTCTCCACCAATCGCGCGGCTCCTCTGCTCCTCCAGCCAATCCCCTGGCTCCCTTGCTCTTCCCGCCAATCTCGCGGCTGGAGGCGCGAAGCTTGAGGGAAGCTGAGGGGCTGTGAGGGACGCGGGGCTGCGCTCCCACCGAATAAATGGGGACGCACTGCTGGCTGTGCCAGGACCCATCTCAGACTGTAAACCCAGCCCTTTCCTATCCAACTACTTCACTTTCATTCTACAGAAGGGATGGAGTCCATCCCTTGGGGATGGGGATCTTCTCCCCATGTAAGGCGGATATCTCAGGTTCCACAGTAAACGCTTCCCCAATGAACGTGCCACCAAACCTTCTCACTCGTAGTTTATTTTTCCAAAGGGACAAACAAACATGGAAATGAAAAATGTTAAAATATTAAATACTGTCACATCAGCAGGGAAAACAAACAAAAAAAAAATATAGCACGTTCATCGACCGCATTGTCTTTGCTGTCAGCTGTTCGATATTCACTCGACGTTCCTTAGGATATGAACAGCTGTGTTAACCACACCGGATAAACCAACACGTCCTCCCGAGCTGTTCCACATCACATTGTTCCATGGCTACAAATGGGAATGGAGCAAACCAGAGATGAGCCCACAGCACACCGAGGCCAAACCTCCTCCCTTCACATCGTTCACTCAGGGCTGAATGGCTCTGAACACCAAATCCAGCCTGACCCCGAGGTGCTGGGAAGCTCTTTACGTTGATTTGTGTGTTATGAGCGTGGTTTAAAACAAAGCCAAACCCAAACCTGACGCCCGCAGCAGTTTGGGGCTCTGTGGGGCCTTAAAGGTTGAAACAGATCGCAGTCACTCCTTCCAGCTGGTCATACTGCATAGTAGTGCTTATTTCACAAGGGTAAACCTCTCTTATTTGGGAGATAAGCTACAAAGCCTGAACTAATCCCATGTAACCCCCAGTGCCCGGGGTGGGGAATGGACAGAAAGAGTCCAATCAGTGTTGGAAACACAGATATCTGCACATTGTGATCTCTGACAGCACCAGGACAACAGGCAAAGTTCTGCTTTTTTGGCTACAAGCGTAACTGCTGGCTTCTTGCACATACATGGGCATGTGCTCGTCATGCTCCTTCCTTCCAGGCCAGGCAAACTCCCAATTAAAGGCCAGGACAAAACAAGAGCACAAGAATCTGCTACAAGAGCTCTTCTGTAACATTGTGGAGAACCTTTATTTTAGCACAACAGCCGCCGGGTTGCTGCTGCTGTGTGTCACGCGGGCAGTGAGATTCATCAGATGTGCTGCAGTATGAATCAGCACCCATTCACTTGTCACTTCAAAACGTGGCAGAGCAGGAGGGGACATTTCCATGCTGCCCTGTCATCTCCCCAGAGGAAACGTGGCAACGCTGGCACTAAGCTCACTCCCAGGATGGTCGCTGTTCCAGCTGCAAGTTGGAATTTAACTATATAGGGCTTCAGTACAAACAAACTTTGATCAGAAGCATAAACCCTTATCTGTAGTAAAAACGACTTTCTATAGCAGGCAGCTAGATGGACCAATTAGATGGTGGGACAAATGATGGTCAAGCACAGAACAGTGCACTATTCCCAACTGCCCCTGGGGATGTGTGAACTTTCCTCCTTCATCTTTACTCATCTTGTTTTCAGCCAGCTGCTTCTGGCACTGCATCAGGAGCATTACTTTACAGTTGAGACCACGAGGAACTGAAGTGTTTGCTTTAATGCTATAACCTCGACTAGGACAGAGCTGGAAGAGTGGAAGCTGAGAGTCTCCAACGCACAGAGGAATGCTTTGGGCCTGTCCTTCTCTCTCTTGCCAATTTTTATGTTCCCCAAGTGAAGCTGAAGGAGGATTGCTGGTAATTCTGACTTTCCTATTTTGTACCGTGGTTTCATTTACCGTGGCTTAAGTAACATGGAGTGAAACGTGCCCCGTCCGTGGGTAACAGACATAAAGGATGGGCTGCAGCTGGAGAGCTCTGGTGCTGCCTCCAGGCACTCAGAGACAGGTGCTGTTCTGTGCACCTCCTGCATCTCCCAGCCCAGCTCCGCACCCTCCCAGCACGCAGTACGTGCGACATCCAAGTGCAGTGGAAAACAACCACAGCTCATCTTCCAGCAACCAATTTCTGAAGTCATTATACATTCATTTGGCAGAGGCCTGTCACAAACACTTTCTGCATACAGAGAGACATATTTCAAACAGGAACTCCAAGAAAAAAAAAAGAAAAAGAAAAGGCAAGTTTTCCCATAGGGATGATATTTGAGGAGCGCTCGGTGCCATGCCACCTGCTGATATGACAAGGAGCCACAGACATTGCATGCTCTCCTGGAAAAGAAAAGAACCTTTAAAGAACAAATTGCTACACGTTCAGTATAGCAGAAAGCACGCATTATGGGGCAAAGCCAAGGGGGGAGAAACAGCAAGAACAACCGAGATGGATGGAAATACGTGCGTTGGTCCCCATCCAAAGGACGCAGACAGCGGCCATCAAAAAACCTTTTCTAAGGAGTGAGCGTAGAGCAGCTGTGATGCAGATAAGGAGACAAAGCTGAATTCCTTGCATACAAAACAAAAAGGACACCATCGTTCAAACCCGTAGGAGCTTTTCATCCTCTGTAACAAGTGCTGCTTTTATTTAAAGTAGGGGTTTTCTAGTTTGTTTGTTTTTTAATGCAGTCATCGTTGCCTGAGAAAATACCTCAATGTATACAGCACAAAAAATGAAGGATGGACTCAGAAAGACATTTTTGAGTGGCAGGACAGCGGAATTCAACCCCTTTCCCCTCCAGAACTACAACCAGCCTATAGGGCTTGTGGTCAAAAATGCTCATATATTCAGAACCCGGGGGTAAACAGAGCACAGCACTGCCCTGAAAAAGCAGCCAGCTCTCCAGAAATAGGAAACATCCTCCTCTGTGGTGGTGGCGTGCAAGAAAGGCTTAAACTTCAGATGATGGCAATGCCAGAGCAATGGCTGCCTGCCCCTCCCAGCTTTGCCAGCCAGGCTGCCAACACTTCCAGGCGGAGAGAGCTAAAAGTGAGGATTGCTAAGGACAACAGGGAGCTCCGAGATGCACTCTCATAGTTACAGTTCTCCAACCAGCCGTGTTTAAAACAACAATCATAAAACAGATTGTGGTTTTTTTTTGTTGTTTCTTGGCTTGTTTTTTTAATGGCCAAGTGTCTCGCCTCCCTTCTTACGTACGGGGGGTGGAGTGCGAAGGGAGGCAGCAGGGAGCACCTGGGGAATTTGCTCATACATGCAGGTCGAGAACTGCGTTTTCAGAAATAACAGAGCTCAAAAACATAAAATGAGACCCTGAGATGCACATGGACACAAATACAGCCCCAAAATCCAGAACCCATCTGAAAGCACAAACTGAGGAACGAAGATCGGCCAGAGCTCAGCAGGAGCAGGGCTGTTCTTGCCATTAATGCCTAAATACACGAAACAGCCCAGAAGGTGATCCTGCAACGTTTGAGACTGCAGGATGCCTTTAAAAACCAAGCAAGAGTTTAGCACGTAGTGGCAGCAGCAATCTGTGCAAGGACAAACTTGAAGAGAAATCAAGTACAAAGCAGAATGCATCCTCCAACAGGGGCAGGATGGCGCGTCCCAATAAGAGCCCTCCTGCAGGAACCCGTTTTAACAAGCTTTCTTCATCCCCTCCGTAACAGTCAAGACTGTTTACAGTGTACCTCCAAGAAAAGGGAATGAGTTATTGCACTGTCTGAACAAATTGCATAAAGATGCTTGCTAGACACACTGCTTGCTCAGCACACCTCCCTAAAGCCAGGCAGTAAACTTAAGAAGAGGTACCATCAGAAAACATGCTAACAGTACTCTCTTTAATTTGCGTGTGCATATTTTCTTCGAAGCAAGTGCTCTGAGTCCTTGGTTTGCTGGGCAGAGATAATACATCTGCTCTGTAGTTTCAGCTTCCGAGTTGGCTGTATGGCACAAATGTCCACGAAGGTGCAGGACTCGGGTTTACACTCACAGAAGCTGCTCAGCGTCAGCTGTTCAGTGTTTAAACAACTTGCAGGAGCTACAGAAGTCTCTGAGCTTTTCCCTCGCGAAAAAAAAAGCAAAGGAAAACAAACCTGGTGCAAGTGAGGGGAAGGGAAGCGCCTAAAAAGGTGCATAGGAGTTGAAATTTTGCTGTCTTTCTGCCTTCCTCTCCTCTCTAGGATAGCAAAGAGGAGAGAGAGGAAGAGAAGCGGCAGGATTCAACGGCAGGCAGAAGGTTCCTGGGCTCACCGATGGCTCAGTGCTGCTGTACACAGGACGACCTGTCGCTTCACTGCTGCTTGGTTTTAAGGGATAACCTCTGTATCATCCTGTAAAGGAGACCGAAGTTCTGGAAGCAGAAGAAAAACGAGTACCTGTAAGTGCTTGCAAGTTCTACTAAAAAAACTGCCCTACACAAGGAGAAAATTTACTCAAAGGCTTAAAACAGCACCAACGTACAAATGCAGCACCTTGCCCGGATCACCAACAGCCTCAGGACTGCGTGGGATTCGGTGAATTAGGATCCAGTGGTGCCAATTAATTGGGGCTGCACAGAAAACAGCAGCTTACAGAAATTCTGTGCAGACCTGCATCACTGCTACTGTGCAGATGCAAACACTTGGTAAAGATGTTCGCTGTTTCAAATGCCTTCGAGGCTCACTGAAGTCTTTAACTGCATTCTGAGCCAGTAAAGCTACTGAGATGTCTGACGGACAGAACAAGATCAAATAATTTGTGACAGCAAACAAACACCAAGTAGTTTTGCACTGGGAAAGAAAACAGCAGGAGTGGGAAGGGATTGTCCTTAGCACAGCCTGAAACATCAACAGCAGAAGAGCCAGCCGTTCTGGATTACTTGTCTCAGAGTGGGATGGCATCATTCTCCCAAACTTGGCACTGGGGCTGTGTAAGCACCACTTCTTACAGCTAATGTGATTTACGAGGAAAATAAGAAGTTTGTTTCCTGCTTTTCTCCTACCTGCACTGCAACGTAGGCAACACCAAGGTAGGCTGCTATACAGACGGCCAGGAGCAGGTCAAAGATTGCTGGCTTGACCCTGCAACAAGAAAAAAGAAGTTGTGGAACTGCGACATCTGGCACTGCTACAGAGACAGGCAGCAGCTGAGCACACCTGAGGGCCGTACCTGTATGCATTCATCACCTGCTTCAGCTGGTCATAGAAGACAAACTCAGGATCCCTGTGGAAAGCAGAAATTCTTCAGGATGACTGAATTTCTGGACAATGCAGTCAGAGCAGCCCAAATCTCTCCTCCCAAGAAGTCAATCCTGCCAGGCAGTGCGACCACCTCGGGTGACTGTTCTGAACTTATTTCAGTTGTCAAGCCTTTCTACAGGTAGGAGCCCAATGGTGCAATTCAGAACACAACGTTCAGCCACAAGGCACACAGACAATGCCCTGCTGGACTCACGAAGCTGCTTCTAAGCTAAGCAGGCCAGACAGGAAGGAAGCTGCCTCTTGGCAATTAAATGGAAGCTTTCTAGGGTTTTTTTTTGCTGAGAGAAGCAGCACTCAGAGTGGGAAGGGTGGAATCAAAGCAGGGGATAAACAAGCTATTGAGGTGGAGTGAATTGCTGAGGCTTTTTGCTCTGTAAATGATTAAGAGTTATCTCTGGGAGAACGCAGCATGAGCCAAAACCGACATGAGGACAGAAAAAGAGCTGTCACTTCTAGCCACCCATCAAGAACCCACAAAGGTTCCAGCTCAGAGTCAAGACTGAGCAGAGGGAGAAGGCAGCCTTCACGCCCTGGCTGGTTTTTCCACCTCTCTCCTTACCGTTTGTCTGCCTTCACATGATGCTGTTTGACATCTTTCAGGTAGCGACCCATGTAATATTCTAAGGTGCTGAGAAAGGTGCTGTCTTTGTCAATCAGCTGAGCAGCCCTGGGCTGACTGCTCAGCCAGTCCATCACTGATTCCAGCTGCTCCTCCTGGATCTGCTGTGGGAAAACACCACCAGAGAAACAGAGTCAGCTACACACACTGAAATCAGAACTCTCCCAGGCTCCCAATCCCTTCCCCTCCTCTGGTAACAAAAACACGCTGTGCTTACCATCTGATCCGTGAAGATCTGCAGGTCTGCAGGTGCTCCCTGCAAGGGAAAAGACAGGCTGCTGCCAGGAGCAAGCTCGGGTGAGCAGGAAAGGCTGGCGAGCAGCGCAGGATGGGCAGCTCTTACCTTCTCTGTTAGGTTGTAGATGACCCTCGTCAAAGCCTCAGCAATGATCCTGGTATTCCTGGTCAGTGCCTTCGTGTCCACTTGTGACCTAAAGCAAGACAGAGGATCATTCACTCGTCACGGATCAGCTCTGCCAGAGCCCAGCTTCTCCCTGCATCCAGCACGGCACTTCACCCAGAGCCCAACTGCCCACATTTTCTTCCCCATCCCACGGCTGCCAGCACAACGCTCGCAGCCCTGAGGCCGGTCTGTGCTCGGGGGCTGATCTCACCCACACCTCCCACCTCCTGTCCATGATGCTGTTGCGCAGGCTGTCCCGATGGCTCTCCAGGTGGGAGATGGTGAAAGCTGGCAAGCGTCGGATCGCAAAGCGTTCGTGCTCCCATGCCAGCATGTCTTCAGCCAGGTTTATCTTCTTGTGCACCATGGAAAACTTCACCTCTGGGAACTGGCTGGCAACAACCTGAGGGAAAAGCAAAGCCATTCGAGATGCTGCGCTTCCACCGCACCATCCCATCTCACACAGCTCAGCCCAGCCAGAGCCAGCATTTTTATACTGCAGGTGGTAAATGTGCTCCCGCCTATAAGGCTGTCAAAATGTTCTTTTAGTGTCACCACAGAAATCACACGGGTCGTTTTTACGAGCAACAAGTCCTAACAAAGCACTGTGGGAAACTCAGCAGATCGAGCGTGCTTCGCTCAGGACTGCGGTGTGAGGATGTCTGCACTCCAAATCAAACGACCAGAAACAACACACAAAATATTTCAGTGATAAACCCTTTCTTCATGTCTTTCTCCCCTTCTTCCTCTCGCAAGAGAGCTGCAGCTCCCTGAGTTCAAGCCCCAAGTTCCCATCCACCCAACCATTTTCGTTACCATCTCCAGCTCCCTCAGAAACGCGTGCTGCAAGGTCCCCTCCTTGGGAGGCTTTGAGACATGAAGATGAAGGCTGTTGCCTTGGCCCAGAGTGTCAAGGCAGAGAACAAACGCCACATTGTCTTGCAACAGGCTGGAATCTGCAAGAGAAAAACCCAAACCTTTAATGCTGTGCTTTGTGCTGGACTTCCACCCCCCCAGAAAAAGGCCTACACAAGGAGATAACACAAGAGACTTAGCAGTGACACGAACAGAATCCTTGCCAGAGGACACGCTGGAGTGATAGCCCTTAGCTCACCAGTGTGGTCCAAATTGTCCTCCAGCCACCTCTTGGTTCCTTGATAATTAAACTTGCCACCTCCAGACGCAAAGAACAGTAAGTTATACCTGCCCATCAAAGAAAACAGAGGGTATTAATTAGCACACTACACTCCGTGGTTAATTGACTGTATTCCAGAACAAACGTGCTCAGATGTGAGCTGAAATCACATCGCTTAGCACCTGCTACAAACTGCTTGTCAACAAGTGCTTCCTATGTGCCACAAAGGAAGGCAGTGGCAAGATGGGGGTAGAGGAGCTCCCAGTGCTCGAGGATGGAATCTAAGTAATTCCATCCACTTGTCCCTGCAGTTAAGCAGATCTACACCATGAAACCAAGGGAAGGAGTTTGGCCCTTAACAGCTGCTGTACTCAGAAGGAGCACAAGGGGGAAGCAATTAAAAGTCTGCTTGTACACTCTAACATCCTACAGGTCTGGAGCAAAAGCCCTTCCTACCCGATCTTCGCTACATTCAACCCAAAACAGAGCAGCTTCTTACCCAGCATGGGTACGTCTGTAGGTGTAGAGCCGAGAAAACAGCCTGGCTAGTTCCAGCAACACTGAGACACCACTGCCATTGGAATCAGCGCCGTGGGACAGCCACTGCAGGACAAACGGGACAGAGAGCGACAGCAGTGATGCCTGTGCTCCAGAACAGCCTTCAAGGGAAACACATCTCTGTGCTCCACTTAGAACTGATTGTGGTCTTTGAGAGCAAAAGAAAATACAGGGTCATAGGCCAAAAGGGAAAAAGGTACAGATGGCTTCAGGAAGAAAAGAATACTCACTGGAGCCACTCCAAAAGAATCGTAGTGGGCAACTATCACAACAGTGGGCAGGTCTTCTCCACCCAGCCCTGTCAGCCTCCCCTGGAGAGAAGGAAACAGATGTCACTCAGCAACCCTCCCTGTGTGCCAGGACGAAGCCAGCGTGACTTCTACAAACCTACCGGCCTCCAAGCGCTCTCAATTCCGAGGAATTCGGATTCTGACCCGACTTCCCCCATTACTCCAAATGGCTGATGAGATCCCCACAGAGGAGGCATCCCATCAACATCACCACTTAGAATCTGCCTGGAACTCACCTCCACGCTGGGAATAAGCCAGTCGTGGATTGCTTTGCTCTGCGCCCCGCTGGTCACCATCTGGAAGCCATTGGCCGTCGCGGTGTGAAGCAGAACTGGAACAAAGAGAGATCACCACACCTGGGCCAGTTTCACCCCTCCATTCCCCTTGCTGACTGGAGACACGAGTTTCAGACCACTCTGCCCTCCCAGCTGTCACTTATGTTTATGCACTGACTTGGGATCCAGGTGACCGTGCTTTTTCATTCTGTTCTGAAATCCCATATTTCAAACTGGCTAAAACAAAAAAGACCCTGAAGATCTAAAGCTCAGCGTGTTCAGCAGCTCACTAAACCAGCAATGTTACAACGGGGAACATGGAAGCACGGAGCTGACCTGAGCTCAGACAGAAAGCTTCAGCTTCCCTCAACATACTGCAGTCCCTCGACACCATCAATGCTGTTGTGACATAAATCTTGCCTTCTATCTTTTTAGCAACAGCGTAAAGCTGGGAACTCACTCTCATGCAAATACAGTAAGTAATTATTCTCACTTGTGCTTTTATCTTAAACACAGATCTCAATGAGAGTTAAAGATCTCCAAGAACTTTAGGAAAGGCAGAATGAAAAGGAAGGCAACAGAACGCTGCTCTGAGCTGCATGCAGCGCGGCGGAGCAGTCGCAGAGCTGGGATCAGGACTGTCTTTCTCTACACCTTCTCCCCCTCATAGAACTCACCCTCTGCAGCCGAGGCAGAGCCCTGAGATGCAGAAGCAGCCCGTGTCTGTTCATAGATGGACAGCAGCTCATCATCTTCCACTGCAAAGTAGACTGGCACAATGGTTTCCATAGCGAGCATTTCTGGCTCTATCTCCATGAATTGCTGAGGATTTAAGTGAGACACAAACTTAGCAAAGGCTCAACATGCAAGAGGACAGGAAAAAGAAAGGGAAAACAAACCAGAGAGGGAAAGACAGATTTCCAAACGTGAATGTGATTCACTGTGTGTTACAGCAGGTGCTTCCAGCCCTGCAGCAATGCAAGCCTCGTCCCTCTCAGGCACATCTCCCATCAGAAGAGAAAGGAAATGAGGTGGGTTTTTTTTTTTCTTTTCACCTTCACAACATCCTGTGGGACAGAAGAGATGGACCGAGGCAGGATGATCACCACAGCGCCGGCTGACTGGCGGAGAGCCTTCTGGTACTGCTCATAGGAGAAGTCCAGCAGCCGCATCATGACGCAGCGGCGGCTCAGGACGTCCGCTTCTACAGTGCGGGCTTCTGTGTTGAGCACTGCACTCCTGGTGCCTGCAGGGACAGGGGGGAGAGGGTTAATAAGCAGTTTCACCATTCCCCCTTTGCTAGAGCTCAGCTCCTTCTCCAAACAGTCTTGGTCACAGTCTGACGAACTTCAGAGCCATGTCCAGCTGTGTCTGTTCTTGCTCGTCCACCCACTGCGATGCTTCTGCAACTAAGAAAGTTACAAGCTCTCGGCTTCAGTTTATCAAATCCTCCACACAGAAGTACAGTCCTTGATAGAACAGCTATCAGAGGCTTGCCAACAGCTCCAGCACTGAGGAACAGAGGACTAGAAGGATACCTTGTGTCATCAGAGATGTTCAGAACTACCCCACAATTTATAATGCTCCAAACCCACTTTATTCTTCCATAACCCTGGCTCCTACAGTGAAAACTTCATCATGGTCAACCCACAAGCAGCAAAGGGAGGAGCAGGGTGCACCAGAAAGCATCTCAGCCTACGCCAGAATGGCCAGCTGCTAAAGGTTAAGTTTAAAGCTTAATGTAACTCTAACACTAGATTGATCTCATCAAAGGTCAGAGCGCCTAAGCCAAAAAAAAAAGGCTTGCACTTCCCCTGCATAGCACCAGGGAGGGCTGTGCTCCCAGACACGGAGGTCAGCCACACTAAAGCCTTTGTGCAGAGCTCCTGTGCTGTGTAACTGATGAACACTAAGAATCAGAGAATCCTAGAATGGCCTGGGTTGCAAAGCAGCACAGTGCTCATCAGTTCCATCCCCTGCTGTGTGCAGGTCACCAACCAGCAGCCCAGGCTGCCCAGAGCCACATCCAGCCTGGCCTTGAATGCCTGCAGGGCTGGGGCATCCACAGCCTCCTTGGGCAACCTGTGCCAGTGCCTCACCACCCTGTGTGAAAAACTTCCGCCTAATATCCAACCTAAACCTCCCCTGTCTCAGTTTAAAGCCATTCCCTTCTCCTATCACCATCCACCCTGCCCCTCAATGAGGATAACCACTCCAGCACCCCCAAACCACGATGTCCAAACACAGCAGTGTGATTCAGGGACGTCCTCAAAAGCAGATATTTCAACATGTGGGCACACTCAGAGATGAAGGAGCCCAGTAATAACTTCAGGTGCTCAGAAACCACCAGCAGCATCTGCCATATCCACAAAGCGCACAGGGACAGCTGCCTTTTCAGAACTTGTACCACTTAACCCTATGGAGCCCTGAGAGATTCACAGACAATTTCTGTGACAGCACAAAAAAGATGTAAGCCTGTAATTTCAGCTGTTAACAAAGCCTGAAACTCAGAGCACAGAAAGCCAGCAGGGCAGAGCTGCTCACAGGCAGAACACGTCCTGATGTGGGACAAATGACTGTAGAAAACTCAGACGACATTGGATCTACCTACGTTAGGGAGTAGGAGGAAGTGGGGGCTGAAGGTTAGAGCACTCCAGCAATTCACAGGTTGTGTTTCTGCCCCGAGGAGAGCTGTTGCACAATCGGCAGCCTGCCTGGAGCTGAGCACAGGAACTGGAGGCCATTGGTAAGACGAGGAAGAGCTATAAATGAGGCCTCTCATAAGGCCAGGCTGGATGGGGCCCTGGGCAACCTGGGCTGGTACTGAATGTGGAGGTTGACGGCCCTGCCTGTGGCAGGGGGTTGGAGATTTGTGATCCTTGAGGTCCATTCCAAACCGGGCCATTCTGTGATTTTGTGAATTGAGGAGTGTAGAAGAAAGTACAAGAAAGATGGGGAGCTGTTGGAGAGGGACCAGAGGAGCCACAGAGATGAGCAGGGGCTGCAGCACCTCCACTATAAAGACAGGCTGAGGGAGCTGGGCTTGTTCAGCATGGAGAAAAGAAGGCTGCGGGTGACCTCAGTGCAGCCTGCAGTGCCTGAAGGGAGCCTGCAAACAGGAGGGGAATCAACTCTGTGCAAGGGGAGATGACAGCAGGACAAGGGGAAATGGTTTGAATTGAGGGAGGGCAGCTGGAGGTTGGATGTCAGGGGAAGTTCTGTGCTGTGAGAGTGGTGAGGTGCTGGAACAGCTGCCCAGAGAGGCTGTGATGCCCCGTCCATCCCTGGAGGTGTTCAAGGCCGGGTTGGATGGGGCCCTGGGCAGCCTGGGCTGCTGTGAAATGGGGAGGTTGGCGGCCATGCAGGGGTTGGAGATTCACGGCCCTTGGGGTCCCTTCCAACCCCGGCCATTCTGCGATTCTGTGAACTGAACAGTGACGGATCACCTGCGAGCAGAGCGGCCAAGGGCAGCGGGACACAACGGAGCTCCCGGCCGACACGCAAGATGGCTGCAGCCGGGCTCTGTGCCGCGCAGCAGCGCTCAGCCCACACGACTCCGCGGCCGCCCGGAGGTCACGGCGCGGCGCTCCCCGCATCCCCTGCTCACACCGGGGCCGAGCAGCTCCGCTCAGCCCGGCGGGCCCCGGCTGCCCTCCCGGCACCACTGCGCCCGGTGCTCCCCACGGCCTCTCCGTGCCCCACCGCGGGGCCGAATCTCCCCCCGCCGGCGCCCGCCCGAGCCCCGCTGCCGTCTCTCACCGTAGGGCTGCCCGCCCAGCTCGTACTGCTGCATGCGGTACACCGTGAACTCGTGGGCGGCCTCAGCGGCGGGCGGCGGACCCAGGAGCAGCAGCACGGCGGGGACGAAGAGCAGGAAGCTGAGCGGCAGGCACGAGGCCTTCAGCACCGACTCCAACACCTCGCCCGCCTCCTCCAGCATCGCCGCGGCCCCGACCCGCCGCTGCGGCCTGCACCACCGGCACGCACGGCACGGCGCGACGTGACGCGAGGCGCGTGATGTAATCACACACCGCCCCCCGGGACCTGCTGGGAATTGTAGTTCCGGCCCTGGCGCAAAGGATGCTGGGAGCCGTAGTCGCGGCAGCGTGCGGCCTGCCTGCAGGGGGCAGAACCACTTCCGGTAGTGCATCGGACACTTCCGGTAGTGGAACGGGCACTGGGATCAGGCACTTCCGGTAGTGAAGCGACTACTGGGAGCGGGCACTTCCGGTAGGGGAGCAGGCACCGGGTCCCTCCGGCCCTGCGGGGATCGGGGGCACCGTGCGGGCCCATCTCCGGCTCCGTGCCCTACCGGCTGCCGCAGGGGGCGGCACTGGGCCTCCTCCTGCGGGATCCGAGCTGCCTCGCGCCCGAGATGGAATAAAAGCGCACCAAAGGCGGGCTTCCTGCCCGATGATTTTATTGTAAGGTTTTAAGCTTCTCCGCAGGGCCTGGCTGGCCTTGGCTTCCCGCACGGCGATGGAGGGTGATTGGATGCTATTCTCCTTCATAACACCGCTCTGCAGAACGCCCCTTCCCAGGAGCATTGCCCTGCGCAGCTCATACAGCACAGCGCTCTGCCCGCCCCTGGAGCCGCCCTTCCCGTGTCTGTGTATCTCAGCGCCCCGCTCCTGCCCGGGGTCTTGCAGCACCTCGGCAGCCCTCCTGCTGCTTTGTCCCGCAGGCCGGGGCTGCGGAGCTGAGCTTTGGGCAGCAGTGGGTGCAGACGTGGCTGCGGTGGTCCAATTTCCTGCAACCCTCAGTTCTCTGCTGCTGATAACCCCTACAAGTCCAAGTGGGGAGTGCCATCTCTGTGCCATGGGGCTAAATGCCCTCACCAGAGCAGGTACAGCAGCTATATATGTGCAGACATGGAGCAGCACCCAGTCCTACCCCAGCACAGCATCCATTGAGCAGAGCGTCTGTCCCAGCCTGTGCCTGTATCCCTCACTGCCCTCCAGGAGCACGTTTCTATGCCACCTCCTGCTCAAAGCCTGGCCACAGTCAGCAGCGGGGGTGGCACAGCATCTTACACAGTTCTGACAGCCGCACCCAGCACCCTGAGGTCCCAGTGGGATCTCTGGGCCACTTTTGGCCTCTCAGAGACTGGGCAGATTGCTCATCATGCTGGAGTTGCTGGAGAGAGGTGCTCTGGGCCGTGGGATCGGGGCTATGGGGCTGCGGAAGCTCTCCCGGTAGCGCAGGGAGCTCTCAGTGGATGAACCCGAGTTGATGTCGGTGATGACCGGGCAGTTCCCAGGCTTGCAGAGCCTGATCCTGACGCAGCAGCAGCACAGCAGGCTGCACACGGCGCGGCGCACCTCCACGCTCCGCAGTGAGTAAATGATGGGGTTTATGCCTGAGTTGAGCATGGCCAGAGCCAAGGTCCAGTCCAGGCTGTGCAGCTGCCTGCAGGCGTGCGTCTCACAGAACACATCGAACAGCATCAGGGCAAAGAGGGGGCTCCAGCAGATGATGAAGGCGCCCAGGATCATCAGCACTGTCTTGAGCAGACGGAGCGAGCGCTTGCGGCTGTGCCGAGAGGTGGTTTGCCTCGAGCTGGCCTGGACCAGCTGGAAGATGGAGATGTAGAGGCCGATGATGCCCAGCAGGATGATGCTGAACATGACCACAGAGAAGAGGATGTAGTTCTTGGAGTAGAGGGGCAGGAGAATGGAGCAGGTGCTGAAATCACAGAGGCAGTTCCATCCCAGCAGCGGGAGCAGCCCGATGACGAAGGCCAGCAGCCAGCAGAACACGATGAGGCCACGCAGGCGCAGTGTCTTGCTGGCCTCGTTCTCAGCGATCGGCCGCACCATGGCGCTGTACCTCTCGATGGCCGTCACCAGCAAGCTGAAGGTGGAGGCAGCCAGAGCGATGAAGAGGATGCCCTCCCGCAGGAACCAGAGCTGAGGGGACAGCTGGAAGGTCTTCTTGCCTGAGAGGCAGAGGTTGGAGAGGTAGGCGATGCCGGCCAGCAGGTCGCTGATGGTGATGCTGGCGATGCAGGAGTAGACCCAGCGGCGTGCCCGCAGGCAGCGCAGCACAGCCAGCAGCACCAGCAGGTTCTCCAGGATGATGGCACAGCTGACGATGACGAAGATGGTGCGGATGAGGCCCATGCCCTCATCCTGGGAAGGCCGGTTGGTCAGCTTGCCAGAGAAGTTGTAGTGCTGCAGGATGATGTTCACGTTCCGCATGGCGGCCAGCTGCAAGCAGGAGCCCTTCCTGTCGAGGAGGTCCATTCTGAGCTCGGGATATTGAGCAGAAAGGGAGCGATTCAGCATCCAGCTCAGCCCTCCAAATTCTGGGCCGTCCGAATTCTGATCACCGAGGGCTCAGGTGAGGTTTGGAGCAGAGCCGAGCCTCTGTTTGAGGGCTGGAGGCAGTGCTGAGTCCAGGGCAGAGATGGGGGTCAGAGCCCCATCTGCCAGCCCCAGAGTGCTGCGAAAACAAGGGGAGAGGCGGGTGAGGTGTTTTGTAAGGCCACGCTCGAGCAGGGTCTTCCTGTTGTTTAGTGAAGTTTCCTGTTGTGAGCTAGAAGACTGGCATGGTTTCTGGCAGCTGTCGTCATTTCTCAATAAGGAGAAATCGTGGGGTGGGATCTGTTGGTTTGAGTGCTGGCATGAGTGCCCCAGCGACTGCTGGGCTTCTGTGGCATTCATTCACCCCTCAGAGCAGCTGCCCTCCACCCACTGCCCCATGCACACCTGTGCCCAGATCCACCCTTCTCCAGGAGGAATTCTGTGCTCTCCCCCTCCTGAGGACCTCCAGCCACAGAACTCCACACACAGCCCCCCGTGCACCAATCCAGGCACCTGCTGCTCTGCAGCCAGGGCTCTGCTGCACCCCGCTGCAGGGATCCAGATGCTCCAAGCCCTCTGTGTGCACCCTGCACCCGGACACCTGCTGCAGGCAGGTCAGCATCTTCCCACTGCCTCCATCATGTGCAGGATTCTGAGGCGCACAGCTGAAGGGGCTGTGCTGGGACCTGGAGCCAAGAGCCCCAACCTGACCGCAGGGCTGTCTGTCACTCATCTATTCCCTACATCTGCAAAACCCACCTGGAGGGGCATTCTTGCACCACGCCGTTCCCAGCCCCAGTTGTTGAGTTTTGGACTCACCTGACATGGCTCGTGCTGCCAGGATGAGGCACAGCAGCCAGCGCTGCTCCCCAGCTGCTCGTCGGAGGCCCGATGCAGTAGGTAATGAGGAGGGTGAAAGCAGAGAGGCTGCTACCTACCAACGTGAAGAAAAAAAAAAAGAAAAAAGGGAAGTTACAACATCGCCAACCACATCTCTGCAAGGATGGACCCACCCAAACATTGCAAAGAAAGAGCATCAGGATCACAGCTGAACCCCTTTCTCAGTGCAGGCTGACCCGGAGTCATGGAGAAGTCCCCAGGGCAGAGCTGGGCCGTCTCACACCTCTGTGGGATCTGAGGATTTCTCCTGGACCGCGGCGCAGGCGCATGGAAAATGCAAAGGATGTTTCCTCCTGCAGGGAATGGTGCGCAACAGAAGCGGTTCTGGTGGGAAGCGGAGCTCCAGGCTCCACGTTGGTCCTTTCAGCTGCTGGTGTCAGTTTGGCTTCACCGTTAGCGGAGCTCGTGCTGATAAGGTCAGCGGGTGGCCCTGAGATTCAAGGAGTGGAAATCAGCAGGAAGAATGAGCCCTAAGCAGGGGGAAGGCAGAGCGTGGTGCGCTCAGCCCTTGGTGCAAAGAGTTCAGTCCCAAAGGGGCGGCGGGAGCCTCGCAAACCCCTCCGAGTGCTCGGCTTTGCCTGAGCCAAACGTCAGCTGTGGGAGGCAGAGGGTGGAGCAGGCGGAGATGAAGGTCAAGGGCTGAAGGGATGCACCCTGCTAGGGCCTGGAGCAGCTCCTCAAATAGCGAATGGCATCTGAGCAGCTGTGGGAAGGAGGCACCTGATGGCACTGAGCTCTTTGCGCCCGCAGCCCAATGAGACCAGGGACACTCGGGTCACCCCAGTGGGTCCCCCCTGCTCAGCACTAACACAGCCTGTGTGGTGTCCTCCCCACACGGCACTCAGCCCCCCTCCTCCAGGCCGAGTTCCTGTTCTCTGCCCCATCTCCCCATCGCGATCTGCACAGACACCAGCTTTATCTTGATGCCTCTCTCTGCTATTTCAGTTCAGAGGTTCTCTGAAATTCAGGGGGGAGAAGAAGGACACCCCGTCCTGCAGCACCTCTCATCTCTTTCCTGCAGATGAAGACTAAAGTTTGCTCAAAGCTGCCCCACAGCTGCCCCATTCCATCACCCAGACCCTGGGGACAAACCCCAGACCCCCCAGACCCATCCAGCCCCCAGTCACAGCCCAACAAAGCAATCTGTGGGGCAGGTTCTGGCGGGCAGGTGGACACAGCCAGCCCCACCACTGTGCCACCTCCACCCATCCGTCCCTGCAGGTGTTTTGCTGCCCCAGGAAGGGTGGAGTGGTGCTGGTTTAGAGATGACTTGATTGCTGCTGGCGGTTGAACCATGGGTTTGTGCTGCTGTCTCGCAGCAGGCGGGGGTCCTTCTGGTGAAGCAGAAAGCCCTAAAAACCTCCCCATGCACTGAGCCCAGGAACCGGCACGTCTGCAGCACTCAGAGGGTCATCAGGGATGCAGTTGGGTCCCCGTAAAAAAAGAATTCACTGAACCTCTGCAGGAAAAACAAGAACACGAAAGAGAAAGTTTCACTGTTGTCTCCTTCTGACCACATTAATGGCTTTAAAAAGCAAAGAGGGAAGGGAAAAGAAAGAAAAGATCCACCCAACATTTTTTTTTCTTTCTTTTTTTCTTCAGAAGTTTGGTTCAATTTTGTCTGTAGAAAAAAACATTCAACATTGTCTGTAGAAATGGAAAACAAACAGCGGTGTGAAGTGCCTCCCCTCCCAGAAATCCTCCTCGGGGTCGGGTTGGAGCCTCATCCATGCTCTGGTTTTCTTTCATGCTCAGGGAGCTCAGGCTCAGAGGTTCCATGTGGGGCACACACACCTGGCAGAACCCTGATGGGGCAGCAGTGGGGCTGGTGGGCACGGCCCTGGGGGTCTGGGGCAGAAAGCAGGCTGGGCACAGGCACAGAGGGGTCTGTGGGCAAACATCCATAGCAGGACTGGGAATTTAACGCTGCGTAGAAGGACCAGGAACTTGAGCATCCCATAGCAGGACGAGGGGTGATGTCTCCGTGGCATGGAGGGGCTGTTAAAGCTGCTCGCTGCTGGTTGCCCCATCATCACCACCTGCTGGGTTTTTCCTCTCTTAGCAGCTGCAGTTACAAACCCAGAGAAGCTCAAAGAAACCGCCCTGAGCTCAGCCACCACTGCTGGGAGGTGGGCAAAGCCGCCTGAGAGCCCAAGCATCCGAGGATGGGAAGGAGCAAAGGACTCTTTAAGCCCATGAGTGGATGGCAGGATGTCCCCAGCAGCTGCTGCTCGCTCCTTATCTCTGTGCTGGCAGAAACCTCTCCCAGCAGCTGACCCCCCCTCGTCCCCTTCCTGCAGGGGGCCCCGAGATGGCTGCAGTGATGAGCCGTGTGAAATCTCTCTGCAGCAGAGCGGATGCTTCTCAGAACCAATCACAGAACCAAAGGGACCCCTGGAGCTCCCCTGCCCACCCCTCAAAGCTGCATGGAGTGCAGCTCTGTAAGCTCTGGTAGATGGAAGCCCCAGGGAGCAAAAAGCAGCGCAGCGAAGTGGGACAGCCTGGCAGGAGGGGAAAGTGAACGGCTGGGAAGAGCAGTGAGGAAGGAGAGCTGCTCACAGCGCAGGGCTGGGTGGCGCAGCTCTGAGGCTGCAGCTCCACAGGCAAACTGCAGGCTCAGCTGCAGGAAGAAACCACCCACAAACAGGACTGGGAGAACACAGGTGTGTTGTGCATGGGGTCCGTGCCCCCTGCACAGAGATTTGCTGACCCGAGGCGCTGCTGCGCTGCTGTTCCACTGATTGCAGCCCCTGAGCACATGAGCAGCAGAGATGCAGATAGCCTGGCGGGATGCACGGCCCCGATTAAAGCAATCAGCCCATCGCACATGGCTTCTTGGCTGTAGGGTAGAGATGCTCCAAGCTATTAAAGCACCCCTTGGGCAGCAGGAGGGAGGCTCAGAGCTCTGAGCACCCAATGCGGAGAGGAGATGTGTCGTCCCCGTTGCCCGCTGTGGCTGGCCCTGCCGCTGCTGCTCTCCTGCCCGCGGGCTGACGGCAGTAAGAGGAGAGCTGCACGGGGCTGCTGCTCTGCGCTCCATCCCATGGCTCACCCTGCTGTGTCTTGCAGGTGCTCTGCGGGGTCAGATCATTGGGGGCCACGAGGCCGAGCCCCACTCCCACCCCTACATGGCGTACCTGAAGGTGGGGCGTTCTGCCTGCGGGGGGTTCCTGGTGGCTTCCGACTGGGTGATGACGGCCGCGCACTGCTTGTCGGGGTGAGTACTGCACACAGCGGCTTCATCCTCCTCTTCCTCCCCATCACTGGGGTTGTTTTGGAGCAGCTCTCCCCCCCTTTTTGCAGAAGGGGTGGGGAGGTGGCGGTGAGACCTGACTGGTTCTCCTCTCCCCTTTTTGCCACGGTCAGGAACATCACCGTCGTCCTGGGGGCTCACGAGATCTTCCAGCCAGAGCAGAGCCAGCAGGTTCGAGGGGTCCTCAGATACCACCCACACCCTGCATACGACCCCGACACCCTGACCAATGACATCATGCTGCTCAAGGCAAGGCAGCCCGGGGGGCAGGGAAGGGCTGGGGGCAGCGGGGCCAAACAGAGCAGCGCACGCAGAACTCCCTGTGCCAACCAGCACTTCTGTGGGGTGGGACCCCCAGGCAGGGCCGTGTTTGCAGAGCTGTGCATCCCACCAGCCCTCCCCTCTTTCCTCCACCCGCTCCGCTCACAGCCCTCCTCTCTCGCAGCTGACAGCGAAGGCCAAGCTCAACAAATACGTCCGCACCATTGCTCTGCCCAAAACCAGCAGCTACCTCCCGACGGGCACCTCGTGCACCATAGCAGGATGGGGCCTGATTGATGAGGACCAGATAACAGGCAAACTCTTTGAAACCAAAGTCTCCATCTACAGCCGCAGGAAGTGCGTTCTGTTCTACCCACACCTCGACGACGGCATGGTGTGTGCTGGCAGCTTCCACGAGCTGAAGGACTCCAGCCAGGTATGGCCATGGGGGGGAGGGGGCTTCGAGGGGGCTTCCAGGAGAGATGGCGGCCCGTGCAGCACGGCCAGCAGGAGCAGGTCTGGCCCTGGGGAAAAGGATGGAGGCGATGCCGCTCCTGTTGGGAAGAGGCGATCCTTTGAATGGCAAAGCCGCTCCTGCTGGGTGGAGCTGAGCCCATCTCTCAGGACGAGGCTCCCACCACGGATCCCATCTGTCTGCAGGGTGATTCTGGAGGGCCGCTGGTGTGCAATAAAGTCGCACAGGGTGTTGTTTCCTTTGGCTACGACAGCCCGCCCGGTGTCTATGCTCGCATTGCCGACTACCTACGCTGGACGAAGAAAATCATGACGAAGTAACGGTGCAGCGTCAGCCCTGGAGACCTGCCGGGTTCCTTCCTGCCCCCACTGGCGGCTCCATTCCCCCCTCTGCCCTGGGAACCCAAGTGTCCCAATGGATGCCCATAGGCTCCCTCCCTTTGCTCCGAGGCTGATGGCTGTCCCGCTGCCGGCCCATTTCAGTGCCACGTTGTCACCAGCAGAATTCCCATATGGCACTGGAATGCAGTGGCACTACCGCACAGCCCCTTTCCCTTGGACGCCCCTGCCCTGCTCGACCCTGAAACACCCCCAGTAAATTCTGAGCTGCGTTCCCCAGCATTTCTGCCTTCTTTCTTATCCCTCATCCCGGCAAGAAGGGAGGGCTGGGTCAGCCATGCTTCTCCTCTCCGTGGTGGGATGGCAGTGACAAAGACATTGAGGTCCAGAGAAGGAACAGCCCCTTTTCCCAGGTAACAGCAATAAGACGAGGGGTGATGGCCACGTGTTGTTCCAGGGCAGGTGCAGGTTGGATATGAGGAACAGTTTATTCACCAAAAAATGGAGATACGGTGGCACGGGCTGCCCAGGGAGGTGGTGGGGTCGCCATCTCTGAAGGTGTCCAAGAACCATGGAGAGGTGGCACTTAGGACATGGGCAGTGGGCACGGTGGAGGTGGGCTGGGGCTGCTCTGGGGATCTGAGAGTTGTCTTCCAGCCTTAGTGACTCTACGAATCTATGAGTGGGCATGGTGCGGGTGGGTTGATGGGTGGACTGGATGGTCTCGGATGTCTTCTCCAACCTTGATGATTCTGTGACCTGGATGGAAAGGGGAAGCGCCGCACATATCCCATCCACCGCCTTCAGAATGCCAACAGCCCTCCAGTGTCCATCTGTCTGCGATGTCCTGCGTAGGGACACGGATGGGAGCTCAGAGAACACTGTACTGAAAGGGCTGGGCAAGGACTGGGGACTACAGACAGGAGAGGCGACGGGGCAGAGCAGCGCTCCTTGCTGCAGGACGTCTGTGTAAGTTCCAGGAGAGAATGTGAGGGTTTGTGGAGGGGAAATCCAGCGTGAAATTTTGAACATACAGAAACTGTGAGCAATTTGAGGGAACAGGATGCTTGCCCCGTCCTCAGAGCCTTTCCTGGGCTTCCACCCAGCCATATCTGCCCAAGGGAGGGGATGGCTGGAATGCGCTGTGGTCCAGCCCTGGCTGCGTGTGCCCACGCTCGCCCTGCCCTCGCCTGGAGGAGGTGATGCCACCAAGGCGCCGTGGAGGAACCAAGAAGGATCCATGCTCTGGGCTTCTGCTAACAGCTCCTATCAAGCAGTGCATCTGCGAGTGGAAAGGCTGCAACTGCTGCAACTGCTTATCTGTAGGGTATGAAACAAATCTCTGTCACTTTGTCACGTCAGGTTTTTCCTTTGTCACGTCAGGTTTTTCCTCGATGCTCTGTCTGCAGCAATCTTTGCACGAGAATGGCAGCTTTTTTCTCAGGAAGGGCACTGGGGGCAGGAGGGAAGGCACATTTCCCAGCAGCCAGCATCAGACCCATTTCGTCATCGCCGAAGGAAGGAACTGCCAGTTTGGGGCATGACACCTCCTAAGGGCCAGCGGATGGGCAGCATCCCAAACCCACATCCCTCCTCCCCACAGACCAAGGCCAAAGGCAGCCCTGCTATGGGCAGCATCCTTCCGAGTGCTCACAGGTCAGCTGGTGGAGGGGCACTGAGGCATTGTTTAATGGGGAACAACCACATCTGGAGTCAAGTCCAGTTGAGTTCAGACCAGTAGAGTCCACTTGAGTCAAGTCCGCTGTTGTCGAGCTGTAGAGGCAAGCCTAGGAGTGCAGAACTGAGCTGAGCTGAGTTCAGTAGAGCCCAGCAGAGGAGAACAGAGTAATTCAGGTGGAAGGGAAGTACAAGGGTCACCAAGTCCAACTTGCTGATCACTTGAGGGCTAACCAAAACTTCAAGTATTCTATTGTGGGCATCGTCCAACAGCCACAAGGCACCGAGGGCTTTGCTAGGAAGCCTGATCCGTGCTTGAGCACCCACGCTGGAAAGAATGCATAGAAGGGAGTCTTTTTCCACGCACAGCAGAGCAGGGACCTCATGGCGCCAGCTGTGGTGTTGCTGTGCAGCTCCCTGCCCCCAGCCAGCCATAACCTACGTGGTGTTTTGGGGGCAGCTCCTCAGGCTCCGACAGCATCTACCAAGAAGAAGTAGGAAGGCCCTGCTGGCCTTCTTGGAGGCAGTACATCATGTAGAAGAAATCTTCATTTTGCAAGGCTCGTGATAACATCAAGAGATGCAAAGAGTTGCAAAAACAACAACACGAGCTGCAAAGGAGGGCAGTGTGGCGGGGTGGGCACGTTCCATGCAGCCTCCAGCTCAGAGGCGGTGGGAGAATGCTGCCTCGGGGTCCAGGAGGGCTCCAGGTACCCCAAATCCACCCCAAATGGAGGGGGACCTTTGCCGAAAGCTGCCTGAATTCCCCTCCTCAGATTGCTGAGGTTTGCGCTTTGCAGTGAGATTAATCAGATGAAGTGCGACCTCGGTGGTTTCCTGGAGTCTCATCTCAGGGTATAAATCCTTCCTGAGAGCAGGAAGAGACCCCACTCACAGCCTCACCCCTGGGGCATCCTCGAGGCCATGCAGCACCCACAGAGACTCCTGCTGACCGTCCTGCTGCTGGCGTGGCCTCTGGACACGGCTGGTGAGTAGAGAGGCTGTGGGGTGGGCTGAGGGGTCCGAGCCCCACATCCCCATCCCATCCCCACGTCCCCATCCACCCCTTCATCCTTGCAGGTCGCTCCTGGAGCCGGTTGGACCAGGACAGCCAGGCTCTGGCTCAATCCAGGCCATACATGGCTTATCTGCGGGGCAGGGATGGTGGGTTCTGCGGGGGCTTCCTGGTGGCCCCCGGGTGGGTGATGACGGCCGCGCAGTGCTTCAGGTGAGTTCTGGGACACCCAACCCAGGTGATGATTCCCAGGTAGGGGTGGGAGGGCTCTGCGTGGCCGAACGGGCAGGGAGAGGGGTTGTGGGGCCGGCACGAGGCCGTGGGTGAGGTTGTGGGGCAGTATGGGCTGAGCTGCAGGAGATGGGGGCGGGCTGGAGCTCCGGTCCCGTCTGGAGGGCAAAACCAGCAGAACCAAAGTGCCCGCATCCCACAGCTCGATGGAAAGCGGCTGCCCCAACCCCACGGCATTCCCTGCTCCCCCAGGGCAGCCCCTGCTGCAGGTGGACCCAATGAGCTCAGTCGAAGCTTCGGAGGCAGATAACCCACACTGAGCCCAGCGATCCGCTCTGGGCAGGCTCTGCAGTAACGATCCACACTCCTATCAGCTTCCACCAAACCCAATCCGCGTCCCCAGGCCATCCCTTCTAATCGCACAGCTGATGACACCTCTGTGCTCCATCTCACAGCCACAGACCTCTGACCGTCATCCTCGGAGCCCGCGACATCCAGAGGGAAGAGGAAAGCTGGCAGGAGCTGCAGGTGCAGAAGTACCACTGCCACCCCAAGTACAGGAGGCGCGAGGAGGGGCACGACATCCTCCTGCTGGAGGTGCCACGGGCTGCGGCGGTGGAGCTGGGGGGGCTGGGAGGGGGACAGCCCTGGTCACGCTGCATCCAAAGGCAAAACACCCATTTCTGTGTTTTCTGCCACCCAGCTGAAAAGCAAAGCCATCGTGAACGACCGCGTGAGGCCCATCTCCTTCCCAAACACGAGGTTTCCTGGAGGGCTGATGTGCAGCGTCGCCGGGTGGGGGCACGGAGCCTCCAACGCTGCCCTCTGTGAGGCCAACGTCACCGTCAGCAAACAGCGGGACTGCCTCCCCATCTACCTCGGCCTCGCCGACCACGTCCTGTGTGCCAAGAGCAGCAGCAACGGGGTTCCTGACAAGGTTGGTGCGACGGGACCCCGGGGGGGGGGGGCTGCTCTCAGTGCGTTCTGTGGGGCACGGAGAGATGCTCTGAGTCGCAGCAGTGGCTGTGCTGCTCCCAAACTGGGTTCTGCCCTTTGAAAGCTCCGTTCCCGTATCAGTTCTTTGCTGTTCCACCCTCCTCCCCTTCTTACAGAGCTATACTGGGTGTCCCCTCGTGTGCAACAACAGAGCCTACGGGATCTACTCCTACCCCTACCGGCAGCCCATGTCCTTCTACACAGACATCAGCCCCTACCTGCCCTGGATCAACCACGTCATGAAGTCCTGAGGTCGCAGCGATTGCTCTCACCCTTGCGGTGCCCAATGCTCTCCTGCTGCCACTTCCATCCTCCCCAGGGAAGCCCCCCTGGGATCCCCCTTCTGGTGTAGAGCCCCGTTTTGGGCTGCACTCCCAAAGGAGGGGCTGCAGCTCTCAGGACCCAGTGAGCATCTCCTCCTCCCTGCTGTGTGACACCCGGCTGCTTTCATTCCCCACCCATTTGTGACACCCTCCATCCTTTCCCTGCCTCGTTTCCCCACTCCTGCTGCAGCTCTGTTGTACTAAAGACGTAAAACCAATAAAGAGCATCTGCTTTCAAGTCCTTTTCCCTGCTGTGACGTGGATCTGTGGCAGCCTTTGGCTCCAGCCCTGAGCAGCTCGGGGATGGGGGGGTTCCCCCCAGGCTGCACCCTGTGCCTTGTCCTCTCCTCGCCCTGCACTGCAGCAGAGGTGCTCAGGATGGCCCTCCCTGCTGCAGGGGCTCATTCATGCAGAGCTGCAAAGCACGCAGTGTGCATGCACTGCAATTCCCTCTGAGACACTCAGGGTGAGTTAAAGGGGCCCTGAGCCCCGGTGGGGCGGTGGGTGTCCCATCTGCAGCAGGGAGGGCAACCAGATGGCCTTCGGGGGTCCCTTCCAGCCCTCCCAAACGCAGCTCAGAACACCCTGGGGAGGAGGAGAGGCACACAGAGCAGTGATGCAGAGCAGTGCTGTGGGTTCCCCATGCACACAGTGCCCTCTTCGGGTGCTCACAGAAACACAAAACGGA